TTGACAAGAGTTCGAAACGACTTGCGCAAAGCAGTTTCATCATTAAAAGCAAGAAACTCAATAGGAAAATATCGATGTGGTCGTGATTTAATTATTTTATCATCTATTTTGTCCATTCTCAATACGTCAGCCATAGTAAAATCTATTCCAAGCCAATATAAAAGTGCCGAAGGCGATTTTATGACTTTATTAAAAGTAATGACAACAATCTTGTTGGTGCGAGATTCTGTATCATCTCATGAATTTAATATTGAGCGAGTTTGTAAAGCTAAAGAATTATCAGCTTGTGCACATATTATCAAACAAGCACTAAGACGATACACAAATTTGGAAAAAGCTTTCAATTTGTCTGAAGAATTTCGAGAAGATGCTCAAATTCAATCGAGTAGCTGGGAAGATATCGCAAAAGCTTTATTGGATGGATTTTCTGATAACGTATTTGTATCTATGAAAATACTTCAAGGTAAAGCGCAACAATTTTTAAAATATAGTATACAACAACGAACATCTGACACACAGCAACAACAGTCAGAAGACACACCTACAATTGCCGTCATAGATAGATCATCAATTCTTCGAACAGGAAATAAAGGGACTCTACCAGCATCATTGATTTTAGCTCGAGATATACGCTATTTGACAGCTGTTCGTTCGGCAGCTATTCTTTCTTTTATTGGCAAAATTGAACAACCATGGTTAACATATAATTTTACACGCATCATGAAATTGAATACAGTTGAGGAACAAAAATTAAACACTGAAAATATATTACAACAAGCAATTCAAAAATTTCCTCAAATTCAAATCCAAAATCGTGATAGTAAATTAGTATTTCGTGGTCCTTCAGGTTATATTTTAAATGCGGAACTTTTCATTCGTCAACAATTAATGACTTTAATAACATTCAACTTAGAATCTGATGATCCGAATAATCCTAATCATAACTTAACTAGAAATTTGAAGAGTATTACCAATATGCCTATTGATCTTTTTGGTCCTCTACGATGGCGATGGGAAGCCGAACAACAAGTAAAAATTCAAACTAAAATGAATGCTAAACAAGGAACAATTACTGTAAAAGTTGAAGGCATCGATTCACAAAATCAAGCTGTCAAGAAAGAATTCATGTCGTTTCTAAGTTGGCTATGCAGTTGTGCAGTAATTCGAAATCCACAGTCAGGTAAGTCTGCGCATCAATTTATTAAAATTGATCTTAACAAGATAGAAATAAGCAAATAATAGTATCTGAATAGAGAGTTATTTACATTTTGCGTGTCTATGTCAGGGAGTTAGAATAAATACTAGTTGTTTACTCGTACAAATGCTTTACTTTGCATTTAATGCTCGCAAAGTATGCAAGAAGAGAGAAAACGCAAAGCAAGATACTGTTTACATGACATGTTTTGTAATTGTGTTCACACACCAGGGTTGGAACCTGGCCGGCAGAGGCCCGGAATTTCACCGGTTAAAGATTTAATTCCAACCAGCCTGTTTCCAGGCTGCACCGATCCGGTAAAATTTTCCAACCGAACAGGTTTAGTATTTTTCCAACCGGTTCCAACTCTGCCACACACATATGATTAGAAAAACTTTACAAATTAAATTTCCGGCAATGAAATGAAAACTTGAATCTATATTGATATCAGCTATTGTTTGAAAGTGTAGGTAAAGAGATGATTAAAACTCTCAGTCATTTCTTTGGCATTTAAGTTTGACATTTATCAAGCAAAAGTAATGAAAATCATACTATCAGTTAGATTTGAAAGAAATACTAATCGTAGCGTCATATTCATCATAAAATATGTCTAAAGCATACGATGACTTAAATTCAGAGGAAACAATTGCAGTTTTATATTCATCAGATAGATCTCATGAAAGGAATTTTATTGACACCGATTTTGAGAAAATAAGAATCATATTTTCCTGTTCATGATGCCGAACTTATCGAAATCATGATGATTTTCTTGGTATTGTAAAAAAATAATTATTAAAATGAAATTCTATGTTTGAATTTTCTGAATATTGTTGTCTGAAATTTAATAGCTTTGTGACATATCACTGTTAATAAATTATAAAGTGCATAGAGATCAAGTTATACTACTATATC